CACTCTTCGGATCACAGATGGATGCCAGGGGAGGGACGAGGCCTCGAAGACCAAAGGACGTGCATTTCAGCTCACAACAGAGGAGGCAAGGGCGGTGCCTGACATCGTTACTAGTATGTATTCATTTATTATTCCATCAAATTATCTCCTATATGCTTATGTTTGTATTTTTTGATAGGTACCTTCTTAGTGAATTCCTTGCCTACTCTTGTGCTTTTTTGACTCGGGTGCGAGTCTGTCTTTTGTATCTCAGTCCTTCAGTTGGGATTTCGATATAACCTCTGGGAGTTGGAGCGTCCATTTGCGAGTTTCCATCGCCAACGAAAAAAAGGTTTCTGCTTCAAGTGTTTTTCGTGGTTGTACGTTGCAGATATTCGGTGCGCCCTACCCGATTGATATGATCCCCATCCCTATGGGGGATGTGCGCGTGATTGTGGGGATGGACTGGTTGAGTCGGGTTGGAGCCACGATCAAATGTGGAGTTTTTTTGTAAAAGTAGGTTGGTTTCCAAAAGGTATCGTAGAAATAGGTTAGTTTTAGAATGTATCGTAGAAATAGGTTGGTTTGAATAAGGGGCCCACCATTCCAATCGATTCTTTCCGAAAAATAAATGTATATTTTCATTTTTAACCCTTCAACTTTAATCTTTTTTTTTATTTATACTTTTTACAATTGAACAATTCATTTTTTACCCTTCTTAAATATTATACATAGATTACTTTATTCTATAATATATGATTATATCTTATGTATCATTATTTACAAATTATACCTGTAAGTAGAGTTTATAAAGACCTTCAAATAGATACCAATATTGAATATATTACAACAGTACGAAATTACAAGAACAATTAAAAACGATATTACAATACGAATTAAGCGTAAAATTACAATACAAGTTAAACGGTAACTTAATCATTAATTGAAAATGTTACAAAGTTCACGTCGCAATTGAATCTTGGTTGGGAATTTGGACAATTTCTTCTATTATGACCAGTTTGGTGACATAGTCTACATTTGCGAGGTTCGTCGGGATAACGAATGTCCATCTCGTTATGAAATCGATTTGCACGCCTCCGGCCTCTATGCACAGAAAGTTTCGAGTTATCTGCTTTAATCTTCCAATCCGAGTCTAACCAATAATCAACATGAGAAAGTGGGACAAAAGCCGACGTATATTGTTGTTTATACGTCATAGTAGTGTACACAGTATTAACAATAGAAATAGGGTTATCCCCTCTATAACCGCAAACTGCAATAGCATGCGAACGTGGAAATCTTTCCATTTGTCACTTACCACATGTGCATGTTTTTTGAAAATAATGGACAGTGTACGTATTTCCTCCTTTTCCATTTATCTGTAACTTTGTGACAATTCTGTAGACACCTTCACTGTAGTCAAACTCGGTTAATGTATGGCTTTATGCACAAGTTTCTCATTTTCAAAAGAGACGTCACATACATGATGGTAGAGGTGTATTGCAATTCATTACAATATCACTTTACTTTCTAAAAAGTTGTACAATTCTATTGAATGTAAGGTCAATACACGCCATGATCGGTAACTGTCTTGCTCCGCGAAGTGCATTGTTTAGACTCTCAGAGATATTTGTTGTCAAGAAACCCCATCGACGATTTTCATCATATAAAAAACACCATTGACTTCTTTTAATTTCCTTTAAATACTGCCAAGCTTCAATATTGATATTTTTTATTTCATTCATATACATAACAAACTTTCTTCTTTGTGTGGTGCTACCAATAGACCAACAAAGCTTTTTAAGACACACAATACTTTGCAACATTCTCAGCCAAATAATACATTACGTCTAGACTTGAATCACTTATGACCCGTGAAATAGTGGATTGCCCTCCAAATTGATAGCATAATGAGATATTCAACTTATGTGATGTTTTTTCAACTCCAACATGTGCATAATATAAATCTTTAAATTCTTCATACCCCATTTTGTGCCTAACAATATTTGAAGTAGAAAAAGTTGAATGGTCTCCCTTTATGATACCATTCTCATATTTAATATTACCACCCCAATATAAATTAATCATAAACGGACGATCTAGAGTCATAATGATATATACCAAAATCTATCTGCAAAATAAATCAGAATCTAAAAAAGAGATTAATGAGTATGCTACATATGATAATTACTATTATTAAATATATGACATAAAGCCAATAATATGTACCTTGTTATGGATGGACGAATGTTGAAGAAAAAGAAGAAGGAAAGATTTAAGTTCAAGAATTGTGAGAGAAATTCATTAGGTTGGAAGAGATGAAAAACTATCGATTATAAGAAAGAGAATTTATAATACAAAAAAAGTGAGATGATTTGACGATTCACTCAATTACTTCTACTGAGTTTTCATCAATAGTTACATTTGAGTGTGCAGAAGACTTTTGCTTTTGCAGTTGAGTAAAGACAAATAACATAATTATAGAGTTTTCACAAAATAGTGACAACTCATGCTATACATTTTAGGCATTGTGGACTAAGATTTTCTCATATTTACAGATAAACGATAATAAAAATATCATTACGAATATTATGATTTAGTGTTTAATTTAAATTCTAATTTAGTGTGTATTTTGAATGTTATATCGTTTATAGTTGATCTTTTAATTTTCCAACGTAATATATTTAATATTAATATCTATTTAAAGATATTTGTATTATTCATTTAATGGTATAACTACTTAAGAATAATACATAAATTATAATTATATATTTTATAATAATTATTTATGTATAATATATAATGAATGTAAAAAATTGAATGAATCAATGAAATATATAAATAATAGAAAAGTAATGAAAGTTAAGGGGGTTACTTGAAAAAATATATATATCATTTGTATGAATGAACAACAAATAATGGGCCCAACTAAAAAAACCTATTTCTACAATACATTATAAAACTAACCTATTTCTACAATACTTTTTGAAAACTAACCTACTTTTACAAAAAACTCTCAAATGTGAGAGACAACTTGTGGTACTTCGAACCCCAAGTGGGGTACAACTAACCATTTATGCCTAGGGTACCAGGGTTGGTTCAATTTTTTGTTCGATTGTCAGGGCTCGACAGTATCTCCAACATGAATGTTTGGGTTATCTCGCATATGTGGTTGACACTCGGGATGAATGAAGATTTCAGTTTCAGATGTGCTAGTGGTCAGAGATTTTCCAAATGTTTTCCTAGAGGATTTACCCGGTGTGCCTCCTGTGAGGCAGGTGGAGTTTAGGATCGATCTGATCCCCGGTGTGGCTCCGATTGCTAAGGCGTCGCATCGTCTCGCACCAAGAGAGATGCAGAAGTTTTCCTTTTAGCTTCATGAACTTTTAAGAAAACAATTTATCAGACCGAGCAATTCACCCTGGGCACTACCAGAGATAAAGGAGTTGTCCTCTCGGTTTTGGTTTGGATATTAAGGTATCCGCGGATAACCGAACCGAACCATTTGATATATATATATATATATATATATATATATATATATATATATATATATATATATATATATAGACACTAAAAAAAGTATTATTCGTGTCCATTGATGTTAGTCCAATGTTCCAAACAAAAATCAAGATAGACAATTCCAATTTGGCACTTTTATATTCGTCATGTTTTCTTGTATTTTTATTATTATATTTGTTATACCACCTATAAGGTATGTTATTTGAACTGTGTTATTTGAATTTCATTATGTTTTTTTAAACTTTTGGACTTACTAATTTTCAAAAACAAAAATCGATGGAATGGAGTTTATAGTTTTGATTGAATTTGATTTTTTATATTTAGTGGGTACCCCGTGAACTGAACCGTGATAACCACTTTTATACGGTTCGGTTTTTTTGTCAATTTGGTTCGGTTTGTGTTAGCGCACATGAAGTACCCGCCTTGTAGTCATAGTTTACAATTTTATTATTATCCAAATTGAAGCGTCCCGTTAACATCCCCATCACTCATAGAGACGGTTATTTTCCTCGGAGCTGCCAACAATGAGAGAGATGGGGCGAGGTTCATTGGAAACTGCTAATGTAGACTTTTATTTGAGTTTTAGCTCATTTCGTAATGGTCGCTAAAATTAATATAAGGACAAAATAATAGAAAAGTTAAAATTAAGGATAATGATCATTTTACATTCATTAAAAAAAAGTGGCTTGGCAGGTAACTTGTTAAAGAGTAAATTACACGAATGCTCCCTATGGTTTGGGGTAATTACACGAAGGTCCGTAATGTTTGTTTTTGTTACACGTTTGGTCTCTGTCTTACCTAAAAAAACTATTTTAGTATTGATTTTTTAATTTATTTAAATAAACACACCCTCAACCCCACCCCTATTACCTTATCTTACCTTTCACATCATTTTTCCCTATTTAAATAATAGTCTTTTTAGGTAAGATAGAGACCAAACACGTAATAAAAACAAACAGTAAGGACCAAGCGCGTAACAAAAATAAACAATAGGGACTTTCCGAGTTAAAAAAATAAGTTAGGGACCAAACGTGCAAATTACCCCAAACCATAAAGACCATTCGTGTAATTTACTCCTTGTTAAAAGACCAACTATGAGCAAAACAATAATTTACTCCTATCGTGGATTTATTAGAATAGTAACGTAACTAATCCATATACAATTTTAAGATTTTTCATCCATTCCATTGAATTTATTTGATTCGTTTCTTATTTCAAGTTAATATTAATTTTATCATCTTAGAAACGTTTCTTTTTAGGTAATTTTCAGGTTAATGAGTTTGCTTATAAATAGTTTGCAAGCTTACAATAAGTGAATAAGGGCAAAAATTCAAGAGCCATTTTCACAACATAATCGATAACAAACTACATTCCAAACCATAATCATTCAAAGGTTCTTCCAACAAACACTTCAAATCGAAATTAAATAAACCAAGCTAGAGGAAACAACACCAATCGAGTTCCGCCACAAACCGGATAAATTTATCAGATCTAAGTATCTAACAAAGTTTGGTGCAGAAACAGCGGCGGCGAACACCTTTGCACCTTCCGCCGGAGAAACCTTCATTCCGGCAGATGACAGAGCAGTTATGGTGGCGGAGACAAGATCCATGATACATATGGCTCAACGACTGGCACACTCGTGCTTCTGCTCCTGGAATCGTCCACTCTGCATCGATAAATTAAAATCACATTAATATTAAAACTAATTAAAACAAGGAAAGACTTTGAGGTATTTTAGAACGATACGAACGAGAAGAGAAGATGAGTAGGAGGGTGAAAAAGATAGCGAAGGTATTGGTCGCCATATCTCGACAATATTACTACTGGTTAGTGAAATGAGGTTGTATGGGTTTATTATATAGTACGGAATGTTGGTGGGGTTGATGATGTCGACTGGTCGAGGTCAGGTGCAATCAACTCATCACCCATCAACTTTTATTTTTTCTTTTTGGGAAGCATGCTATCCACTTCTTTCTTTTACGTATATATTTGATAAAACTGTAAAATTGATCCTGTGGTTTTTCTAAAAATTTTGGATAGGGTCTAAAAAGTTTTAAAGTTGCGTGGAAAGTCCAAAATCAGAAACTTTCTTTGGTTTTAGTCCATAAAACACTTGAAATGACTTTTATGCCCTTTTAATTTCTTTTTAAAACTTTATTTATTTATTTTAATTGTTTTATAATTAAAAAAAATGGGCCCTACAAGCTACAACACCCCGACTCATTTCTTTCTCCCTCTCTCACTCATCAAAAAGTCATCGGCGTCAAAATTGCTCTCCATTCTCACTCACCTTTCCCGTCGAGAAGCCCTAACGTCGCCGCCCTAATGTCGCCGTCGACCGCCCAGATTTCTCGCCGCCCTTCATCGCCGGTAAGTATCTTACTTCTCATCGCCTCTATTCCCCCTCTCCTTCTTGAACCAATGAATTCACGTCTTGAAAATTGAAACCTGCCATCACGAAACCTCGATGGTAAAACCCCATTGTCAGACATCTACAAGTTTTCTGTCATTTCATCTTCAAGAATCTACCTCCCAACCCCATTGTCGGCATCCTCCTGTCAATTGCGCAACCTCCTGATGAGTGAACCCCACTGCAGGTTTCCTAAACACAGCTCCGATGAAACCCCGTTCCCCTTCAGGAGGTCAAATTAAACTTTGAACTATGTATCGCCTTTCTGGAGAAGTTTTTCAGGTTCGGTGAAAATCTAATTTGCATAGAGAACTGAGATGATCACATTGGATCAAAAGAAAAAGAAATTTGATGTGTTTAACAGAGAAAAAGAGGTAAGTTTGGATTTGAAATCAGATGCAATGTGTTCTGGGTTTTGTGGATTCCAATTTTGGAACTAGAAAATAGATTCCAGGTAGGGTGATTGAACGGTGTGGAGAGAGGGAAACAAAGATCAGGTCGGTCGATGGTGCTCGAGTTTTGAGGAGTTACCAACGGTGGGTTATGTTCACTGGTGTCAAAAACCACCAACCACTGTGTTCTAATACCACACAAGTCAACTAAGTAGAGGTTATGGAGTTAATGTTTCGTCGTTCTTTTGCTGATGAGGGAGGGATAAATTAGGATGAGACCGGACGCGAGCTTATTGGAGAAACCTCGAGTTTTGAGGAGTTACCAACGGTATGTATGTATGTGTAATTTTCAAGCTTCAGATTGAAATTTGAAACTGGGTTTTATATACAATCACAAATATAAAAAAACCAAGAAACTAGTGTCTGTGTGTGAAATATGTATGTGGTTTTTGAAGAGAAAGGGAGGGGTGAACGATAACATACATCGGAGGATGCGATACGTCGGAGATGTTCTAGCCATTTGGGTTTGATCGCCTGTGAGTATGTGTTTGTGTGTGCGTGAGATATATATATATATATATATATATATATATATATATATATATATATATATATATATAGAGAGAGAGAGAGAGAAGAGAGAAGGAGAGTTTTACATATTTTATTATTATTATTATTATTATTATTGTTATTGAAATGTTAATAAAATGTAAAAAAATGTAAAAATAAATAAATAAGGGTATAACCGTCTTTTCAAGTTTTTTTGGACTAAAATCACAGGAATTTCTTGATTTTGGACCTTCCATACAAGTTAAAAAACTTTTTGGACTCCATCCAAAGTTTTTTACAAACCACAAAGACCAATTTTACAGTTTTGTCTATATATTTAGTAAGTAACTGATTAAAATTTTATTAATATTTTAAAAATATTGTCACCTTACGGTTTATTAATATTAGACAAAATTGTAAAAGTGGTTACTATAGTATGTATTTTTTCTAGATTTGTCCAAATCTCGATTTTTTTGGTTTTGTGGTCATTTTGAGTTAGTTTGCTTGTGATTTTGGTATATCGGAAAACCAAAAAGACTAAAATTTTCTTATAATATTTTTTTATATAATTTAATGTTTTATTAAATAAACATGCCTCTCTCTCTCTCTCTCTCTCTCTCTCTCTCTCTCTCTCTCTCTCTCTCTCTCTCTCTCTCTCTCGTTTACAAGTCAAAGATCTCACATTTCTGATCGATTTCTTTTCTAACAAAGACTACATGACAATAAGAAACTTTCAAATGGATCAAGTTTTTCAAGAGGACCAAAGAGTAAAATCAAGAATAATGAAGATAACGAAGGATTCTAGACTAACAACTCTAGTAGTTTTTCACATTTGGCTACTCCTACTTTTCACTCATTTTCCACCAACAACAGCCTATGATCACAACCGCTTTGTATTCTCTGGTCGAAAAGCTAAATTCTTTCAACCATCACTGCCACGATTCCATTTGCTGTCACCGGAGAACATAACCCAACTCAATTTGGCGTCGACTACCACCGCTTCCCACCCACACCCACGATACCTATGTTTCTCTCTTTATCTATTTCTCGCACATGCACACACATAAGAAATGGTGCTACATGGATCAATCTTTCACACACACAAGATGGAGGAATCAATTCAAAGTTAGGATTGGCCTGCTTAGATATTTACAGACAACAATCACAAATTTTGGGAATTGATCAATATGCAAGTTAGGGGTCTATATTATTGAATCTGTTGATGAAAAAAGGCATACCTGATTATCTCTATCGACTAATATTCCTCACTCCCTACACTCCTTAATCTGTTAACTGATCAACAACAATCAATCATTTTCTTCGGTACATTCCCTAAAATCAGCCACCAGATGAACACAGTTGGGGGATTCCCGATCGTCTTAGAGAGAAAAAGATTAGGAGAGAGATGAATTCAGTATGAGGAAGATGAAGAGACACAATCAGAGACGAAGAGAGACAGAACTGTAGACCGGAGATCGAAGCTACAAACTCTAGTCCGTCCTCTCGATTTCGTGTTGGTACTTTAATTTCTAATTGATTTTGTGAATGATTTCGTTGGGGCTGCTAATCGATTTCATGCCTGTTACTTAGGATTAATTTCTTGGTGAACAATTTGTCTGGTGAAATTTTAGATGACGTCTTGCTATGCAGAGAGAGAGAGAGAGAGAGAGAGAGAGAGAGAGTGAGAGAGAGACGGAGAGGGAGAGAGGTGTGTCCTCTAATTTTTTATTGTGTAAATAAATAAATAAGTATTAGATTTAAAAAAATGAAAGAAATATAGAAAACAAATATCCCAAGGGTTGAGTGTCACACCCCAAAACCGGAACGACGGAAACGTTCTGAGGCGGAGGACGTCATGTGTAGTATCACAACAATTGTATCATAGCAATCATAGTAAACACAACCAAACATTGAATACATATATGAAAAAGGTTTACATTGACTTAATACATAGTTTTGTTCATATTAAAAGTAAAATAGAAGGATGTGACTCTAACGCTCCGACTTCTCCAAACTCCTGGAAGTACCTGTCTACTAATTCCCTTAGAATACAAGCAGTTTTGAAAGAGTATCAGCATAAAGCTGGTGAGTTCATAAGCATTTAGTTTTGGAGAAAAATGTTCTTTGCTTCTTTTGAAAAGTGTTCCTCAAGAAAATCCCATATTTTCTTATGAAAAGCATAGTTGAAACCCATTCCTTCCATGACTTCCCGATTCATACTAGATACGTACAATCCAAGGAGTCATGGAATGAACATGAATATCCGTTAGTTGAATAATAAACCATCAGGTTATAAAATACCGTGTTATCCTGGGAAAATCCTATATTTTCCCTAAAAGTAGGTTATTGATTATCCGTTCTAAACTGAAGAGTACAAGTATCTTCCATACTTATATTGTTAAAGCATAGTTTCTTTTGAAGAACCCTGGTTACTCCCAGTGAGGTATATTAGTCTTATTACATAAATAAAACTAATTGAAAACGTGGTGATCTAAATCCTGAAGGTATTGTTAATACCCTCCCGTAATCACTTGGTTATTAACTCTGAAGTTAGTTCGTTTGATCTATTATTACGTAAATACATCGTTATTATCTACATTGCGAGTTTTATGACCATACATTAACTTGATATGGCGTGAATCGAACACCAGTATCCTTTATGACTTTGTCACCCGTAGACCTGCCAGTCCTACTGTAGCTAGCAGCAAGGTGCGGGATAGTTAGTCCCATATAGATCTATACACAAAAATCACGCTCTTCCTCCAGGAGATTCTGGTCACAAGTGCTAGTCCTCCACTTAGTTATGTTTGTAAGCGCCCAAGGACGTGTCTCCAATTAGATTAATGAATTTACGAATAATAATACAGGAAAACCCTTTTTGTTATTAACATGAACCCTTATAAAATAATATCTTTTATTTTATGATTCATAAGTTCTTTTCCTTAGTTTTGAAAACTGCTTTTGCAAGTTGGTTTCTTAACCCATTTGGTAAAACTGATTTCCATATTCGAAGTATATTTAAAATATATTTATCTTAGACAAAATAATATATTTTGAGCACAAGATTGCTTGTGCTTTTGCTTGTATTCCCCCCTGAAAACATGAAAAACTCGGAAAAGCATATGGGTATGAACTCACCTCGAGCAAGTGGTTTGATTTAAGGATCGATACGGGATGCTGAATGTTCAAGTGAAGACTTGGGCACGATTTGATCCTAATTAAAATGTAATGACACATATTGGAGTCAAATGAAAGTATTTCACTACTAGATATGATACGAAACCACTCTAGGGACTTGGAATCACTTGCACTAAGTGTTAGAACCTTATAGGATTGAGTGAGGGAGGTGTATGGCCACCTTATAGGTGTGTGCGGCCATGGGTGTGCGGCCCATGAGGTGTGCGGCCGTACACTCATGATGGAAGGTGTCTTTGAGGTGTTTTCAAGGTTCATACTAGCATCCATGAAGTATTCTAGGTCCATGCTTAGTTGTGGTGCAAGTTTGAGGTCAATAAGGGCCATGGAAGTGGGTTTGCTGCCCTAGGGTGTGTGTGCGGCCGTATATAGGGGTGTGCGGCCGTACACCCTTCATGTTTATGCCCAAAAGGTCGAGTTTAGGATGAAATAAGGCTAGGGTCATGTCCAACTTGAAGATGGGGGTCAAACTCTCACTTTGGAGGGTCTTTTAGGAGTGTGCGGCTATCTTATGGGGGTGTGCGGCCGCAATCTCTTCTAAAAATGAAGAACATGACGAATATTGCAGTCTCAAGGTTTAAATAGAGTGGTCTTTCAAGGATATCAAGTTAGAGGATGAATTACTCACGTTCTTGAAGCTTTGGAGGGTTCACGGTTGAAGAACTTGAGAAAATGGTGTAGTGTGCAGCCAAGGAGTGAAAGGAATGAAGGGAAAGGGGTCTACCCTTTATATAGGGGTGGGTGTGTGGTCCTGAGGGGTGTGTACGGCCGTACACCCATGTGTGCGGCCGCACACTCCTCCAAAAGAGGTGTATGGGTTGATTTTGTCACTATACGACTTGCTGACTTATTCCTAATCTCGACCTTGGTTGTACTCAAGCTTAGAACGCTTAAATGAACCCTTAAACAGTGCTAGAAGTTAACAGAAACGAGTTTAACATAGATT